AAACTCTTCAGTAATTATCCAGTGATTGTCAGTGATAGAAATGTAAAAACTCTTCTGTAATTATCCAGTGATTGTCAGTGTTAGAAATGTAAGAGCTCTTCAGTAATTATCCAGTGATTGTCAGTGATAGAAATGTAGAAACTCTTCAGTAATTATCCAGTGATTGTCAGTGTTAGAAATGTAAAAATATCTTCCGTAATTATCCAGTGATTGTCAGTGTTAGAAATTTAATAACTCTTCAGTAATTATCCAGTGATTGTCAGTGTTAGAGATATAAAAATTCTTCTCTAATTATTCAGTGATTACTAATGTTAGAGATGTAAAGAATCGAAAGCAGACATTCTAATAAAATTCGGAAGCTGCAGGCCGGACCAATGTTCATTAACCGGCGAACTGATGCACGCTGTAGCGGACCAACTCTATAGGCCGCATTTATAACGCTGTGCGTTTGTTGTAAGCCACCGCACTTCTCTAATTCCGATAAAAAATAAAATTAAAAACATCGGATCAAGATCATTTTATTATGGAAACGGCTTTTGCTAATCAGTAGCAGGACTCCAACCTCAACTTAGGTGGCTATTGGAAATGAAACGTGAGCAATATCAGTTTGCGTTTCTTGTTTCGTCTTGTGTGTATTACTTGAATGTTTCAAGCCTCATCTCTGTTTGACAGTGCAATTATTAGTGTATATATTACAGATTATGTTCCTAGATAGTAAATTCCTTTATTTCACGGGATTATATATAATAAATAAATTCCTAAGATAATAAATTCGTTTTTTCACGGAATGTAGCTTATTTCTCCCATTACAACGTAAATCATCTATACGGCTAAAAGATTTTATTAATAATTATTTAAATTAATGTTTAAAAATCATTTACAGAGCATTCTAAGTCAATCCTCTTGCCGATTATTTAATAATAATCTTTATAGGTTAAACTAAAAATCACAAATCCTCCACAGTCGTATATCGAGTTACAATTATTCTAACGAACGAATATGCATTATAAGTCATTATTTTCGTTGAATTTTTTATTTTGCAATTAAGAAAGTTGAGAGTTGAGTGATTCGCCGAGTTCGAAGTCATTAATCGTACGTAATCATTCCTTTCTCTACACGGAGCCAGGAGAAATCAGTGGAGAATATCATTGTATTCCCCACCCTACACGGAGAGAAATAAGTGACTCACTAAGCTCCTAAGTCATTAACCAGACCTAAGTATCGTATTCCCCACTCTACATGGAAAGAAATAAGTGACTCATTAATCGCTCATACCATTAATCATAGTCTCGCATTGTCTACTCTACACACAGAGAAATAAGTAACTTACTGAGCACCCTAATTAATTAATCACGCTCAAGTACCGTATTCTCCACTCTACACACAGAGAAATAAGTGACTCACTGAGCACTCTGAGGCTGAGTTCTAATTAATTAATCACACTTAAGTATCGTATTCTCCACTCTACACGCAAAGAAATAAGTGACTCACTGAGCACCCTGAGGTCGTATACGACAGAGTCGGAGCCATGCTCGTTGACTGCGGTGCACTCGTAGCGCCCGGCGCTGCTGCGCTGTACGTCCAGCAGCCGTAAGAAGTCGTCAACCACAGACGTGCGGCTGGGGGTAAACAAGCGTACGATGTGTGATGATAGCAACGTGAAATGGTAGAGACTATCATTGATGTTATACCATGAGATAGGTATGAACTATAGGGAATCGTTCTACACATAAATACGGCTAGAGAGAAAATATAATTGGATGATGTTTGAAATGGGTTCATGAAATCCACGTACGATGTGTGATGATAGTTTCGTAAAATGGTCGAGACTGTCATTGATATCAAACAATGAGCTAGGTATTAACTACAAGGAATAGTTCTACACATAAATACGGCTGGAGAAAAAATATACGTACGTTGTTTGATGATAGCTCATGAAATCCACGTACGATGTGTGATGAGTGATAACTTCGTAAAATGGTTGAGACTATCATAGATGTCATACCATGAGCTTGGTATAAACTACAGGGAATCGTTCTACATAAAAATATGGCTGGAGAAAAAATATATGGACGATGTGCGATGATAGCTTCGTAAAATGGTTGAGGCTATAATCGATGTCATACCATGAGATAGGTATGAACTACAAAGAATAGTTCTGCACATAAATACGGGAGAAATAAAAATATACGGACGATGTATGATAATCGTACATGCAACCAACGTACGATGTGTGATGATAGCAACGTAAAATGGTTGAGACTATCATCAATGTCATACCATAAGTTAGGTATAAACTACAGGGAATCGTTCTACACATAAATACGGCTGGAGAAAAAATATACGGCCGATGTTCGCTGGCAGCTCATGAAATCCACGTATGGTGTGTGATGATAGCTCCTTAAAATGGTTGAGACTATCATTGATGTTATACCATGAGCTAGGTATAAACTACAGGGAATAGTTCTGCGTGTAAAATACGGCTGGAGAAAAAATATACGGACGATGTGTGATGATAGCTATGTAAAATGGTTGAGACTATCATAGATGTCATATCATGAGCTGGGTATAAACTACAGGGAAGGGTTCTTCACATAAATACGAATAGAGAAAAAATATACGGATGATAATTGATAATTTCTCTATAAATCCATGCACCATGTTTGATAATCGCTCATGAAATCCACGTACGATGTATGATTATAGCAACATAAAATGGTTGTGTCTATCATTAATGGCATATCACCACCTGAGTTTATTATAAAATACTCTTGATAATTATTGTCACTAGTTACTTTACATATATGAAAATTACAGAAATATGAAATATTGAAAAAATGTTATTACGAGAAATTGAATAGTTAAAATGAGTTCAAATATTGTAAATGCTATAACTAGAAATTTAAAAGTTAAAATTAGTTAAAATATTGAAAAATGTTATTATTAAATCGTTGAAGGATAAAGTCGCGAGACAGCACATAAAATATTTTCGTTAAAAATGTAGCGGTAATTTCTTCAATGGGCTGTGATTTTTGTTCTATGAAAATTATAAAATAGTACCAATGAACAATTAGTATAAATGCAATATAGTACAATTGCTTTCTTGATGCATATAACATCAGCCAAGATCTTGGAAAAAATAATACTGTTCTACTTATTAAATAATGCATATAATAACTATGTTCTTAAACAAAGTATATGAATTTTCTTATATATGAACTTCAAGATTCAATTAAGTAAACCTAATCAATCCTGTTCTTGANATACACACAGAGAAATAAGTGGCTCACTGAACACCCTAATTAATTAATCACACTCAAGTACCGTATTCCCGATTCTACACACAGAGAAATAAGTGACTCACTGAGCACCCTAATCAATTAATCACACTCAAGTAACGTATTCCCCACTCTACACACAGAGAAATAAGTGACTCACTGAGCACCCTGAGGTCGTATACGACAGAGTCGGAGCCATGCTCGTTGACTGCGGTGCACTCGTAGCGCCCGGCGCTGCTGCGCTGTACGTCCAGCAGCCGTAAGAAGTCGTCAACCACAGACGTGCGGCTGGGGGTAAACAAGCGTACGATGTGTGATGATAGCAACGTGAAATGGTAGAGACTATCATTGATGTTATACCATGAGATAGGTATGAACTATAGGGAATCGTTCTACACATAAATACGGCTAGAGAGAAAATATAATTGGATGATGTTTGAAATGGGTTCATGAAATCCACGTACGATGTGTGATGATAGTTTCGTAAAATGGTCGAGACTGTCATTGATATCAAACAATGAGCTAGGTATTAACTACAAGGAATAGTTCTACACATAAATACGGCTGGAGAAAAAATATACGTACGTTGTTTGATGATAGCTCATGAAATCCACGTACGATGTGTGATGAGTGATAACTTCGTAAAATGGTTGAGACTATCATAGATGTCATACCATGAGCTTGGTATAAACTACAGGGAATCGTTCTACATAAAAATATGGCTGGAGAAAAAATATATGGACGATGTGCGATGATAGCTTCGTAAAATGGTTGAGGCTATAATCGATGTCATACCATGAGATAGGTATGAACTACAAAGAATAGTTCTGCACATAAATACGGGAGAAATAAAAATATACGGACGATGTATGATAATCGTACATGCAACCAACGTACGATGTGTGATGATAGCAACGTAAAATGGTTGAGACTATCATTGACGTTATACCATGAGCTTGGTATAAACTACAGGGAATCGTTCTACACAAAAATACGGCTGGAGAAAAAATATACGGACGATTTTTGATAATAGTTCCTGAAATCCACGTAACGATGTGTGATGATAGCTCCTTAAAATGGTTGAGACTATCATTGATGTCATACCATGACCTTGGTATAAACTACAGGGAATCGTTCTACATATAAATACGGCTAGAGAAAAAATATACGGACGATGTGTGATGATAGCTCCTTAAAATGGTTGAGACTATCATAGATGTCATACCATGAGCTTGGTATAAACTACGGGGAATCTTTCTACACATAAATACGGCTGGAGAAAAAATATACGGACGATGTTTGATAATTTTTCCACAAATCCAGGAATAATGTTTGATAATCGCTCATGAAATCCACGTACGATTTTTCATGATAGCAACATAAAATGGTTGTCTATCATTAATGACATATCACCACCTGAGTTTATTATAAAATACTCTTGATAATTATTTTTACTAGTTACTTTAATTAATATGATAATTGTAGAAGTATGAAATATTCAAGAATTTTATTTCCGAAAATTAAATAGTTGAAATTAGTTAACATATTAAAAATTGTCTTATTTATGTTATAAAAATTTTCTTATTTATGAACTTCGAGATTCAATTAAGTAAACCTAATCAATCCTGTTCTTGATAGCCTTTGATCTTATGTAATGATTTTATTGATTAATAATTACAATTAATTATATTGCTTATTATTATACTGATTAATCAAAGACATGGAGAGTTTGCTGAGTAGCACTAGTTCATCCATGCAGATATGAACAATATCAATGATATTATTTAAATAATAATAATATAATTAGAATTATTTTAATAATGATATCATTAGTATCATTTTGATAATAATATTAATAGTATGATTTTAACAGCAATAATATGCTCAGACGTTAGTTGATTCTAGGCCAGCTTTTCGTTAGTTTGCTCTTCCCTTATGAGGCACAAAATACGCACCAGTACTGTAATTAAAATTCGTAATCTTGAATATTTGTGAGTAAACTACGTATCATTCTCCACGGGGAACGATATTTAATAATATTTATGATATTATTTCGCAATTCAATACAGTGACATTTATAATCAGGTTATCTTATTGAGTGAAACACAATATTTTCGTAGCAAATTTCGTATCTCAACATTCAGCTATGAGATTAACCAATTATTAGAAATTATCAAAATATATATGATAATACACAAGGTAGTTTATGTTTTTGATGCAGAGACCTTAACGCAATATCATATGATACGCATTTTGATCTATTCATTAATGGCTCAAAGAAGGGAAATGATGAATTGTAAGAAATTATTAATTTAAATTTATTCGAATTATATAGGAAGAAGATTTATGGGGGCTAAATAAATGTGGAAAAATATTTTAATAAATCTGGAAAATAAGTGGAAGAATTAAGTTTGAAAATTAAATTACAATAAAATTTTAAATTTTAATAAAATAAAAGGAAAGGAAATAAAATAATAAGAAATAAAAAAGTGCGGAACCTGTCGAAGTGGACTGGACCAGCGCGATGGGTCCAGGTGGTAGTGGGCTTGGGTTCCCCAGTCACCCGACACGGTAGCCTCACGTCTTGCTTCCACGCCACACCCACTGTACCACCCACCGACCACACGCCTGCCTTCACTGTGGCATGTCTTGCGTTAATTAAGGGTCACAGTGACTCACCCTAATTAATCAATCATTAATTAATCAATCCTAATTAATCAAGCACCCATTTGGAGACTTGGATTTTGGTACACTTAAGACAATAAATGAGTCGTATTGTCCAAATAGAGACGCATTTTGGTACACTGAAGACAATAAACGAGTCGTATTGTGCAAAAATACAGAAGCATTTCACGCCACTGTGACTATGCGCTCTTTCTGTCACCTGAGGGCAGCCATGACAGTTGCCGCCTCTCAAGAAAATAACTAAGTCGTGTTTTCCATAATGAGATGCATTTCACAACAAACACTTGTATTGACTGCGACATGACCTCACGTCACTTGGTGGCACCCATACAATTTGCACACATTCAGAGAAACGAGAGTAATTATGTCTAAATAAAGATGGTTGCGCTTATTAAGACGCACTATCTGCACGGAGCTGAAACGCCTTTTTACAGCACCAAATTATGTTAGCTTGATCCACACTACAGCAGCTGTCTCTTATACACATCTAGATGTGTATAAGAGACAGCTCTATCACTCACTGCAGCGAGTACTGAGTTATATTTTTGTTATCTAAGTTTAGCGGCTTGAAATTTGTGTAAAAAATGCAAAATTAGAGATCACTTTAGAAAACAGATTAAATGTAGATTTTTTAGGGATTCCCTTCGTTATTACAATAATAGTCTGCAAAAACTGAAATTTTAAGGCAAATAATTAAGAAATGGGGTACTAGTATATGTGCATTGTTGATATATGTAAATGTGCAATTCATTTTGAGAAGAAAAAAGAAATACTAATCAGAATAAAGGAGCGTTGCCCAATGTCTGAAACAAATTAAATAAAAAAGGGTTATTGTCTGCATAATTGCATTCGTGGGAAGTGTTCTTCCTGTTGATGGAAAAAGCTTCATTTGTCTGACTCAGCATCGACATTTGTATCATTGAGGTGTGGAGTTAATACTAAGGGATTTTCTTGATGATGAAAAAATCGTATATTGAATAAGTCAGCATGGAGTGCGCTGGTCACCGGCACCGTGCAGCAGTGGGGTGGCCACGCTATAGGTGGCAGGGGTGGCACCCGCAGAGTTGTGTGCGGTCACCCGCACTTCGTATTGTTGCCCGGGCTCCAGGTTCGACACCGCGTAGGTGCGATGCACCGGAACTGAATTGCTAACTGCATAGGATATCAAGAGGACTAGATATTAGAATTTATACTTCTGTAGATATAGAAATTTGATTGACATTCATATAGTTTAAGGCAGAACAGAAAAGAAGACTTCGGCACACGTTAATGTATCACTCAAAGCTATTTCACACACCCACCCATCCAGCACACGATACTGCTAAATTCACCACCATTTCACCCACCCACCCAGCACATAATACTGCATAATACTGCACATCTCACCCGTGGTCCAGTCGTTCACCCGGTGCTTGCGGTACTGCACCCTAAAGTGTGTGATGGGACAGCCCCCGTTCTCCCACTGGGTGAGGTAGAGGGTGGCTTGGGTGCTGTTCGTTGTGATGAACTGGAACTGCGGGGGAGGTTCCGGGGGCCGACCCTTCGTGTGGGCCTCCACGACGGGGGAAGATTCGCTGTTGTCTACACCCAACGATGGTCGTGTTTTAGCAATTAATTATTATAAAACAGAATAAGTATTTCAAATCTTTGTTTTAAAGAGATCAAATATTATGAAGCATATTCACGACGATAGTCGTGATTTCTAATAAATATTTTCATACTTTTGTTTATAGGCTATCAAATATTATTAAACATATTTAGTGATATTCTTGACTGAACTGTAAGTCAATGGAGCCATTGGAATATACGTTTGGACTAGAAATTTTGAACATTGTAGTCTTAATCATTATATCGGAACCTCTTTTGATATATCCAAGATACGAGTTTATTTAATACAAAAATAGAAATGTATCAACATATTTTCTATAATTTCTAATATATTCATATGCTTTAATCAAATGAAAATCAATAGATTTTTGAGTATTCAAAAACTTACCTGATTTGTCGCGTACCTTTTATGTTTGAGAAATATTCGAATAGATTAATGAATTTTTGATCAAGTAACGCTCCGAATATTGAAGTGATTAATGAATTTTTGATTGATTAATGCCCGAATATTAAAGTGATTAATGAATATTTGATTTAATAATGCCTGAATATTAAAGTGATTAATGAATTTTTGATTTATTAATGCCCGAATATTAAAGTGCTTAAGTATTAAAATCACTTGGCTGCTTAAGTCGCAAATTTACCAGGAATTTAAAAGTAAAGAAAATAGCCAAAAAGTTCACCATTTCTTATGGTGAACTTTACTTTACTTTTAAATTCCTTTTAGAGTGATTAATGAATTTTTGATTTAATAATGCCTTAAATATTAATGTGACTAATAATTTTCTGAATAATTAATGTCCGGAATATTAAGGTGATTAATAAATATTGATTAGATAATGCTTCGAATAATAAAGTGATTAATGATTTTTTGATTAATTAATGTCCCAAATATTACAGTGATTAAGTAATTTTTGATTAATTAATGACCTGAATATTAAAGTGATTAATGAATATTGATTAATTAATGCCCCGAGTATTAAAGTGGTTAATGAATTTTTATTAACACGTTGACTACGATTGCTTCATCTTGTACTATTATTTCATTTTTTGTAATGTTTTTAAACAGGATTGCCAGACGGTAATTTTTCCGGACAAATTCCGTGATTTAGTTTTTCTCAATAGCGTTGGCCGGCTAAAACTTATGATAGGGGTACTTCCTAATTAAATTTTAAATACTGAAAAAAAAAGAAAATAATTGAAATTTTTATAGCGGAACCTACAAATAAACTAGTATATATTGAGTTATCGGCCTTTTTTGATTTCGGATTTGGCCGATTTTAGGCAACCTGAATTATGCACCACTTCGTCCTGGAGAAATACATTTCGTGGGACGCATATGTGCCACTTCGGAGTCAACGTGTTAATAAACGCCCTGAATATTAAAGTGCTTAATGAATTTTTGATTAATTAATGCCAGGAATTTTAAAGTGATTGATTAATTTTTGATTGATTAATGCCCCGAATACTAAAGCGATTATTGAATTTCTGATTAAATAATGCCCCGAATATTAAATTGGTTAATAAATTTTTGAATTAACGCCCGGAATATTAAAGTTTTACCGATAGCATTGCGTATATCAAGATTATTAAGATCTTATTTATCAATATCGAGATCATTGAAATCTTATTTGTATCAATATCAAGATAATCAAGATCTTATTTATCAATACCAAGATCATCAAGATCTTATTTAGCAATATCAATACCAAGATCTTACTTATCAATATCATGAAGATCATATTTATCAATATCAAGAACTTTTTATGATTATCAAGATCTTGTATACACAATTTCAAGCTATTATTTATCAATATTAAGAACTTGATAATAAATATCAAGATCTTACTTATCAATATTAAATAATTATTTGACAATATCTAGATCTTAGAGAGAAGGGAAATATCAAGAAGTATTTTTTCAGAAGAAGTATTTGAAAAATGTCGATTTGTGTTAAGAGAATGGATGAACAAGTGTTGAGTTTGCTCGAAATTGAATACTTTAGTTCGCATACCATTCAAATTAGAAATGTTTAATGTTTATCACTTGGGTGAATGCGTTTCTTATCCGTAAGACAGAAATTCTAACATAAATTGTGACAAAAAATCATAGCATTCTATTAGCCTTATTCCCGGTTACGTTAAACCAATACCCTGTAACATATCGAAAAAGAATATTGACGGAATAAAAGATAACTAGAACAAAACTATCAATACTGAGTTGCCTGGAAAAGCTGAACTGATGCTGTCAATTGGAAACAGAAATGAGGTAATGACTTAAGCGTAATGACCAATATTCAAATAAACGAGCATACAATAGTCGATAATCATATAGCATATAGCATATACCATATATTATATGGCATATAGCCTATACCATATATCATATATCAGAGACATGAATGTAAAGCCATTATTCTAACCATCTTGTTCAGTAGTGCAGATAAGAGGTTCACTCATTACTCCTGTGCCGATGGCAGTGGCCGCTGCCACTGCCACTGAGTAGTTACTGTATGCCTTTAGTGACACCAGCCTTGCCATTAGTCCCTCTGTGATGACCATCACACCACCTGCACTGCTGTCAGTACCAGAGTACCCGTTGGTACCAATGCTGAGGTAATGGTGACCAATGGTCGGTGATGTGGCCGGAGATAATGGTAGGTTCACCAATGCGTCACTTTGCGCATCTGTGAAAGAACAATTTCGCGCTGAGATGTGTTATTATCATGTGAAGAATTTTAGTTAACTTTAAGAGATAAGTCACAAAGTACGATTTTCCAATGGACTAAGTTACATCTTCTTTATATATGTGTACAGTTTTTATTTCTAAGCAGTTTTAAACAAGGAAAATAACAGAGCTAGAAGTTTAAAAATAATATATAAGATTTCACAAGAAATCGTTCTTCTCAAGAATTTCAGCGACACATAAATTCTCTTCATTAATCTAATTCCACAACTAAAAATACGCATAAAGTTTAATAGTTTCTTATGATTCGAATGTGTTTATATGCATATATTTTCATAGTTAGTTTCACTTCATTAAAATATGTTTAAAAACAGCCACCTCGAATTTTACCTAAAATCGGCATGTAAATAAACGCGTGAGAAAAACAGACAGCGCTCAGGAGTGACTTTCATACTTTCACATGGCATCGCTTCAATTTTACCTCCTATATATCACTGATTTCCCTATTTATATTTAAATATCATTATTAATTTTATCATTTTCAGCGCATTTTCTCATTTATGGAAAAAATGCACTATTGTGCTCGCCATGTCCGTCCGTCCGTCCGTCCGTCCGTCTGTCTGTCCGTGACCTCAACTTTTCGTCGGCTAGAAAATGCGCTCTTTGTCACTCACTGCAGTGAGTATTGAGTTATACTTTTTTCTAAGCATCTTATACTTTCAAATGAAAAAAATGACAAATACGAAAGAAATTACACACCCATGAGCCGCCGGTACACGATCCTGTAGCTCGTGATGACGCCGTTGGCGCCGTGCGTGGGCGGCGACCAGGACACCAGCAGCGACGACGCTGTCACGCCGTCACATGTCACGTGGGACGGCGGCGACGAGGGTTCTGGGGGAGTGGGAAGGGGGGTTCATGGATGAAAAATAGGGTTCGTGGATGAAAAGTGGGGTTAGTGGATGAAAAGTCGGGTTTGTGGATAAAAGTGGGGCTAGAGGATAAAAAGTTGGGCTAGAGGATGATAAGTGGGATTCGTGGATAAAATGTGTGGTTCGTGGATAAAAAATGGGGCAAGAGGATGAAAAGTGGGGTTCGTCTATGAGAAGTGGGGTAAGTGAATGAAAAGGGGGGTTCGTGAATGAAAAGTGGGGTTCGTTGATAAAAGTGGGGCTAGAGAATGAAAAGTGGGGTTCGTCTATGAGAAGTGGGGTAAGTGAATGAAAAGGGGGGTTCGTGAATGAAAAGTGGGGTTCGTTGATAAAAGTGGGGCTAGCGAATGAAAAGTGGGGNGACAGAAAGTGGGGTTCGTGGATGAGAAGTGGGGGTTCGTGGATGAAAAGTGGGGTTCGTGGATGAAAAGTGGGGTTCGTGGATGAAAAAGGGGTTTGTGGATGAAAAGTGGGGCTAGGGGATGGAAAGTGGGGCTATAGGATGACAAGTGGGGTTCATTGATGAAAAGTTGGGCTCTTTGATGAAAAGTGGGGTTCGTGTATGAAAAGTGGGTTCATTTATGAAAAGTTGGGTTCACTGACGAGAAGTGTGGTTCGTGGGTGAAAATTTGGGCTAGTGGATGAAAAGTGGGATTTGTGGATGAAAATTTGGGCTAGTGGATGGAACAGGAGTTCATGGATGAAAAATGAGTCATAAACTTCAGGTTCATGAGCTCTGGGGGAGTTAAGGAGAGTTGGGGGAATGGGAAGTGGGTTTTAAGCTCTACAAGCGATTAGTGGGGTTTAGATTCGTAGCATAATTAGCGGAAGATAAGCGTGAAGAAGCGATTATTGGCTTTAATCGTATGTGTTAATTAAAGTTCTAGATATGTTAATGCGTGTGATAAGCTATTAAATGCCTCCATAGAATGAGTCCAGGTATATTATCAAATGCATTATAATGTGGTAGAGACTCATGTAATAATTATTTGAAAACATCACTAAAGAGTCAATTTAACAATTAAAATTTACTTGTACTATCTAGACCAGAGAGTGCAAAATCCCAAGTCAGATCCTGCGTCATGGACGTTCGTGGGTAGACCACGTAGATAAGCCAATTAACATTGAATTGCTTTTTCTGCAATGTTTCTGAAGTTGATTGCAACTGAATTGCTGTAATTATTCAGGCTTGGCAAAATGTCATAATTAATAGAAGAAAGTTTGTAGGTGACTAAAATTGACATATTATATTCGTCACACTTTCACTTCCATCGAGGGGGAATGATGTAAGCATAACTTACATCGTTACTAGCATAATCTTTTCGAGTTTTCCCAACGTGAATGAAACACATAGAGAGTGATAGTGTTCCTTCTAGTGATTAAATAAAATTGAATAAATAAAATAAGTGAATGAGAATAAAATTTTGTTCCCTGCGAGGGCTGCTGCCCGCAAAATAGAAAAATTGAATAAATAAAATAAATGAATGAGAATAAAATATTGGTACCAGCGAGGGCTGCTGCCCGCAAGAAAAAATTAAATAAATAAAATAAATGAATGAGAATAAAATATTGTTCCCAGTGAGGCTACTGCCCGTTAAAAAAATAAAATAAATAACAGAAAAAAAATTTTGCTCCCAGCGAGGGCTGCTGCCCGCAAAAAAAAATAAATGATGATAATATTTCTACTTGAGAATTGAATTAATTTGCTGAGAAATCATCGGGGTATAAAGAAGACAAATCAAAGATTATATATCATCTAAAAAAATTCTTAATTGATAAGTTTAAGCTAAAGCCACGGTGCAAGAGGTGATGTGTTGTGTGAATGAAAATGGCGTTCAAATAAGGAAAAAATAAAATAAAAAATTCACAGGAATGTGGAGGCTTGTTTCCAAATTCAAAGATGTTAGCAAATTTGACCATAACTGTAAAAAGAAAATCCTTCTCACCATATACATACGATGATATGATTGTGATGCCTTCATGCTTAAATCATTTAATTAAATGTACTGTAATGTTTGATGTAATGTATAATTTAATTATACTAAAAAATTAAATACTGATGCAACTAAATACCAACTAAAAGAAATGAGTCCGCATTAGTATCAATTAATAAGAAAATTAAAATGAATTAATTCCAATAATTTAAATTACATTATTTATATTTAAAAATTCATTTAAAAATAATTAAATTAATTAATTTAACTTATTTATAAATTTGACCAGTCATTAAATAAGATAAATCAAATCCCTTACCCGGCATGCTGGGCATCTCATCCACAAGCGAAGTGAGCTGCTTGGCTGAGTACTCAACCGCCCCCGCGGACGCTTCTTCGCCTTCCGCGAGGTTGATGGTGAGGAAGCTGTAGGATGAGACGTCGTCTCGCCTGCTCAAACTGAGTGAAATAATTACGTAATGAGAAATTTATGGCTGGGAAAATGTATGATTTGGCTTCATCCTCCCTAAAGAAATTGATATATGATGATGTATATACGTATGATGATTTGGTTTTGATGTATGATGAATTGATGTAATATATTATTTGGCTTCATCTTCCCTGAAGGAATTGATGCAAGATGATCCCCTCATTCTATTTCTAGGGCAAGGAAAATTAAGTTAGATAGTTCTTATCCCTCAAAATTGAGTTGGCTAAAAATAACCAAATTTCATTAGTCATGACTATTAATGGTTCGTATGACTAGATAATAACTGATTCCACTAATTTAAATTGATTAGGCGCATGTTTGACATAAGAGGTACCTACTAAAAAGGTGTTCATGCCACATAGAGAAGGAAGACGATAAGTCTCCATGTTACCAGGTTGGTGAGAGTTGACAAAGACAGCAGTGCCTTCTTTCTTTTTCGAAAGATCATTGTTTTACGAACGCTCGTTGCTTTTCGGAAGCTCATTGCTTTACGAAAGCTCATTCATTTACGAAAGCTAATCTATTTACGAAAGCTCATTCGATTACGAATGCTCATTCATTTACAAAAGCTTTTTCATTTAAAAAAGCTCACTCCTTCACAGAACTCATTCATTTACGATGCTCATTCATTTACAAAAGCTCACTCCTTCACAGAACTCATTCATTTACGATGCTCATTCATTTACAAAAGCTCACTCCTTCACAAAACTCATTCATTTACAGATGCTCATACATTTACAAAAGCTCACTCCTTCAGGAAAGCTCACCTGTTAAGCCTGATGCCCAGATGGTAGCCAAGCAAGGTACCGTGGGTTGCGTTGGGCAGAGGAGGCAACCAAGTCAACCTGAAGCTATTGGCTGTCGCGCTTACAATCTGCAAGTGTAAAAGAAGTACAAAATTTCCCCATGTCTTTATAAAACCTGTTAATTTTTATACACAAATTTATTTTAAAAATCTATATCAATAGGATGATTAACCATATTTATAAATATTTATTTGTCAATAAAAGTCCCCTTATTAAAAAAAATATAACTCAGTACTCACTGCAGTGAGTGACAGAGAGCGCATTTTCTCGCCGACGAAAACTGGAGGTCACGGACGGACGGACAGACGGACAGACAGACAGACAGACAGACAGAAAGACGGATATGGCGAGCACAATAGTGCATTTTTTCCATAAATGAGAAAATGCGCTAAAAATTTCGAAAAATATTAATTGATTATAGTTCGCACCTTGACGCTCCTTGGGAATCCCGATGGTTTTTCCTGCAAGGTTTTATGGATGACAGGCAGGGATGGCTGGCTGCTGCCCACTCTGTTCCTGTCTNAGACAATAAATGAGTCATATTATCTAAATAGAGAGGCATTTTGGTATTTAAGGCAACAAATGAGTCATATTATCCAAATAGAGACGCATTTTGGTATACTTAAGACAACAAATGAGTCATATTATCCAAATAGAGACGCATTTTGGTATACTTAAGACAATAAATGAGTCATATTATCCAAATAGAGACGCATTTTGGTACACTTAAGACAATAAATGAGTTGGATTGTCCAAATACAGACGCATTTCACGCCACTGTGACTGGCGCTCTTTCTGTGACCTTCGGGCAGCCATGAGAGTTGCCGCCTCTCAAGAAAATAACTAAGTCGTGTTGTCCCAATTGAGATGCATTTAACAACACACACTTGTTTTGACTGTGATATGACTTGACGTCGCTTGGTGGCACCTTAAAATTTGCACACATTCAGAGAAACGAGAGTTATTATGTTTAAATAAAGATGGTTGCGCTTATTAAGACGCACTATCTGCACGGAGCTGAAACGCCTTTTACAGCACCAAATTATGTTTGCTTGATCCACACTACGCAGCAGAAAGTGCGTCGATATTTGAACAAAGTCTCATATAATTCTCCTAGTGCGCACTTTCATTGTTGCCAAAGCATAAAATCTATATCCGCATGCAATGAACACCGAAAATATATTATATATGTATGTAATAATAATCGAAACTAATGTTTATGGATTATTTGATCATTATCGAATAATGTTTATCGATTTGTTTATTTTATACTTAGAATTCTCAAAGCAAAAATTAATGACTGCGATAAATTATGATCATTTTCTTATTTGCAGTGAAAATGGAATGCAACATTTCTTAGGATATTTGAATAGGGACAGAAATGTGACTAGGCACTTCAAGTCTGTTTTCACATATAAAAATTTTTTGAGTGTGTATGAATAGTTTAGTTCAAAATTTATTTCTAATCAAACAGCACTACGCGACGTCACATATAAAAAATATAATAATATGACAGGAACATCATACAAAATTTATTTATTCAAGTCCAGAAAGTATTTATTCGCACTAAACGATTCGAATGTCTTACCTTGAGGTGATAAAGTTAGCGAAACGCGTTCGCTGTCTGCACCTCTCCCAGCCGATGTTGAAGCAAACACCCAAGCCTATTTCGTAGGAATGGTTATAAATTAGGAGAATTTATTTCAAAGTACAATAGATTCGAGGTCTGTTCATCAATATCTTACTTCTAAAGGCATGTCACTACCTCAAGATCACTTCAAAAGAGCGGCAAGCATTCGAAAGCATCGTTTTTGGCATTAAAAATATAGTATTGACACAAAGTTTTAAGTAACAAAACTATGTTGTTGATATCGATGCATATTGATATTCGAGCAAAAAATATTTGTTCATGTGCACGAATATTTCCAGTTCACTCTCGTCTTTGGAGATCTCAATATTAAGAAATCAGTCATTCATGGCTCCAGAGAACGTCCATTTTGAGGCCGATCGCTTGCTTGCAACAAAATGAGCTTCATGAGAGAATTTTCTATTGAATTTTTTTTTGTGTTTGAATTTAGATAGGTGACCTGATCTGTATTGGTGTGATAACTACGCTGAAAATTACAACTATAAATCATACAAATTTTACGTATAAAAATTTTTTCTTTCACTGGAACCTTGTCATCAATGGTGTCCTCGAGAAAATATATTTTTTTCTCAATATTTTCAACATTTTTTTTATTTCTAAAATAAAATTTACAAAAATATACACAAGAAAAAATACATTTTTTCAATATTTTCAAACAATTTAACAACTTTTCAAAATAAATTAAAAAAATACAAACGAAAATATATATATATTTCGATATTTTCATAAAATTGTTTAACTTTTCAAAATAAAAATTTTCAAAAAATACACAAACTAAAATTTTTTTGAAAAATCTTCAATATCACATTTTAGTAACGGACCTGAACTGTCTGCGCTGGTAGCTCGCGCAGCACGAGATGCGTGGTCAGCGGGTCTAACATTTTACTGAAGAGCCGCTCAGGCGAGCCGTCCGCCGCCCACTGGACGGTGTAGCGCGTGAGGGCGCCACGCGGCTCCCGTGGCGCTGCCCACGCCACAATGGCGCTGTGGCGTCCAGACTGTACGAGCTTCACACGCATCGGCGCTGTTGGCACTGTGCAAGGGCATGGTAGAGATCTTATATGTCAATATCAAGATCTTATTTATCGATATCAAGATAATTAAGATCTTATTTATCAATATCAATATCAAAAAGATCTTTTTTATTTATCAATATCAAGATCATCAAGATTTTTTCAATCAATATCAAGACAATCATAATCTTAATTATCAATATCAAGATCAGCAAGGTCTTATTTATCAATATAAAGATCATCAAGATCTTACTTTTATCAATATCAAGATCTTCAAAATCTTATTTTTTATCAATATCAAGATCATTAAGATCTTATTTATCAATACCAAGATCATCAAGATCTAATTTAACAATATCAATACCAATATCTTATTTATCAATATCATTAAGATATTAAGATCTTATTTATCAATATCAAGATCTTAATAATAATAATAATAAATGTCAATATATTATTTATATCTATCAACATCATATATATCAATATCAAGAACTTTTTATGATTATCAAGATCTTGTATACACAATTTCAAGCTATTATTCTTCAATATTAAGAACTTGTTAATAATTTAAAGATCTCACATTTCAATATTAAACAATTCTTTTGCAATATATAGATCTTATTTAGAAGGGAAATATCAAGAAGAAGTCTTATTTTTCTCTAAAAGTATTTGAAAAATGTTGATTTGTGATAAGAGAATGAATCTGATGGACAATTGTTGAGTTTTCTTATAAGATCAGGTTTTACTTGAAGTTGTTATATGAATTTGCAGATAACAGAAAGAAATTAATTACTCTGTCATAAGGACTAGCTTTATATTTCTGAGAATATACGAATGCTTGCTCATTTAATTTATATGGAAAAATCTATGCGATGTAAAAATTAACCAAAATATATTGACCAATAGAACTATAACATGTAAATAAGGAACCAACCATACAATCACTTAAAACAAAATGCAATGAGTTTCGTTGTTGAAATACAATATAACATTTTGAATAAGACAAATATCCCAGCTCCCCTAAAAATATCCCAGATACTCTATACCCTATAACATATCGAAAAAAGAATATTGATAGAATAAAAGATAACTAGAACGAAACTAACATGACTTAGTTTGCTCGGACAAGAAATACTGATGTTGTCAATTGGAAATCGGAATGAGGTAATGACTTAATTAAGTGTAATGACCGATATTCAAATAATGGAGCATACAATAGTCGATAATCATATAGCATATACCATATATTATATGACATTTATCCCATATCATATATCAAAGGCACAAACGTAAAGTCATTCGTCTAACCATCTTGTTCAGTAGTGCAGATAAGAGGTTCACTCATTACTCCTGTGCCGATGGCAGTGGCCGCTGCCACTGCCACTGAGTAGTTACTGTGGGTTCGTGGATGAAAAGTGGGGCTAGAGGATGAAAAGTGAGGCTAGTGGATGAAAAGTGGGGTTAGTGAATGAAAAGTGGGGTACGAGGATGAAAAGTGGGGTTCGTGGATAAAAGTGGGGCTAGAGGATGAAAAGTGGGGTTCGTGTATGAGAAGTGGGGTTCGTAGATGAAAAGGGGGGCTTGTGAATGAAGAGTGCGGTTCACTGATGAAAAGGGGGTTTGTGGATGTAAAGTAGGGTTAGTGGATAAAAAGAGTGGTTCGTGGATGAAAATTGGGGCAAGTGGATAAAAAAGGGGTTTGTGGATGAAAAATGGGGCTAGAGGATGGAAAGTGGAGCTAATGGATGAAAAGTGGGGTAAGCTTTAGCGCCGTGAGCTCTGGGGGAGTTGAGGGAAATTGGGGGGAATGGGAAGTGGGTTATAATCTATCAAAGCGATTAGTGGGGTTTAGATTCCTAGCATAATTAGCGGAAGATAAGCGTGAAGAAGCAATTATTGGCTCTACTCGTATGTGTTAATTTAAGTTGTAGATATGTTATTGTATGGGATAAGCTACTGAATGCCTGCATACGATGAGTCCAGGTATATTATCAAATGCATTTGGATATCGTTAAGACTCAATAATTAGTTGACAACATCACTGACGAGATTATTTATAACAAAGGGTCAACCAACACTCCTAACACTTGGTTCACGAAAATTTCGCAATCAAAATTTACTCTTACTACCTAGGACCAGATCGAGAGGGGCAAACCCAGGTCAGATCCTGCGTCATGGATGTTCGTTGATAGACCACGTAGCTAAGCCAGTTAACATTGAATAAAGATTGATTCTTCTGCAATGTTCTTGAAAGTTGATTGCAACTAAACTGCTGAAATTATTCAGGCTTGGAAAAATGTCATAAAAAAAAACAGAAGTAAATATCAAACTGAATAAAATTAACCTAATATGCACGTTACACTCTAACGTCCATCGTGGGGAATGAGAAAGACACAACTCACATCGTTACTAACGTAATTTTGTCGAGTTTTTCCAACGTGAATAGAACACATAGAGAGTGATAGTGTTCCTTCTAGTGATTAAAGATTCTGTATAACCTTAATGCTTAGTGTAGTAATTGGAGTTTTTCAGATTTTATCAATTCTAATGTAAACTAATTAGGTATTTAACGCTTTTTTTTAGATATTATCAATTCTAATATAAAAAATTAGATATTTAACTCGAGTAATTCAAATAATATCAAGTGACTTACTGTCCTCAGCGGTGGTGGCGGTGACAGGGGGTGATGGAGGCCCTAGTCCCATGGCATTGAAGGGCCTCAGCAGGACCGCGTAGCTGGTGAACGGCTCCAGGCCTCTCACTGTGGCCTCCATCAGCCCGCCTGTCGAGCCTACATCGTCCACTGAGATGTTCCCTGCGAGGGCTGCTGCTCGCAAAATAGAAAAATTGAATAAATAAAATAAGTGAATGAGAATAAAATTTTGTTCCCTGCGAGGGCTGCTGCCCGCAAAATAGAAAAATTGAATTTGTTTGATGTAATGTATAATTTAATTATACTAAAAATTAAATATTGATGCAACTAAATACTAACTAAAAGAAATGTGTTCGCATTAGTGTCAATTAATAGGAAAAATTAAAATTAATTAATCGCAATAATTTAAATTACTTTATTTACTTTTAACAAATTTATTTAAAAATAATTAAATTGATTAATTTAACTTATTTACAAATTTAACCAGTCATTAAATAAGATAAAAACGACGCCCTTACTCGGCATGCTGGGCATCTCATCCACAAGCGAGGTGAGCTGCTTGGCCGAGTACTCAACCGCCCCCGCGGACGCTTCTTCGCCATCCGCAAGCTTGATGGTAAGGAAGCTGTAGGATGAGACGTCGTCTCGCCTGCTCAAACTGAGTGAAATAATTACGTAATGAGAAATGTTGGCTGAGAAAATGTATAACTTAGCTTCATCCTCCCTGAATAAACAGATGTAAGATGCTCACCTTATGAGAATATATGATTTGGCTTTAGCCTCCCTGGAGAAAAAGATGCAAGATGTTCACCTCATTCTATTTCTAGGGCAAGGAAAATTCAGTTAGATAATTATTATCCCTCAAAATTGAGTTGGCTAAAATTTGACATCATTTCATTAATCGTGGCTATTAATGATTCGTATGACTTGATAATAATTGATTAAATTAATTTTGATTGATTAGGCGCATGCTTGACCTAAAAAACATGTTCAGACCACATAGAAAAGGGAAACGATAAGTCTAAACGTTTCCAGGTTTGGTCAGAGTTAACAAAGACAGCAGAGACTTGTTCTTTTTAGGAATGATCATTTATTTGCGAAAAATCATTCATTTACAAATGCTCATTCATTGATGATTGCTCATACATTTGCAAAACGTCATTCATTTACATAAACTCATTTATTTACAAAAGCTCAATCATTTACAAATACTAATTCATTTATAGAAGCTCATTAATTTGCAAAAGCCAATTCGTTTACACATACTCATTCATTTACAAAAGCTCATTTATTTACAAAAGCTCATTCATTGATAAAAACTCATTAATTAATAATAGTTCATTTATTTATAAAAGTTTATTCATTTACAAATGTTTATTCATTTGCATTAGTTCATTCCTTCACTTCACCTGTTAAGCCTGATGCCCAGATGGTAGCCAAGCAAGGTACCGTGGGTTGCGTTAGGCAGAGGAGGCAACCAAGTCAACCTGAAGCTATTGGCTGTCGCGCTTACAATCTGCAAGTGTAAAAGAAGTACAAAATTTCCCCATGTCTTTATAAAACCTGTTAATTTTTATACACAAATTTATTTTAAAAATCTATATCAATAGGATGATTAACCATATTTATAAATATTTATTTGTCAATAAAAGTCCCCTTATTAAAAAAAATATAACTCAGTACTCACTGCAGTGAGTGACAGAGAGCGCATTTTCTCGCCGACGAAAACTGGAGGTCACGGACGGACGGACAGACGGACAGACAGACAGACAGACAGACAGAAAGACGGATATGGCGAGCACAATAGTGCATTTTTTCCATAAATGAGAAAATGCGCTAAAAATTTCGAAAAATATTAATTGATTATAGTTCGCACCTTGACGCTCCTTGGGAATCCCGATGGTTTTTCCTGCAAGGTTTTATGGATGACAGGCAGGGATGCCTGGCTGCTACCCACTCTGTTCTCAGCCACGACACTGAACCTGTAGACCGTCGCTGGCAGTAAACCTTCTACCCTCGCAAGTGGTGCATCCACTCGCACGTGTCCATTAAAACCTAGGAAATAAAAAGTTATGGTAATCATTTAATAAAAATTTTCATTTACAGATTACAGAAGCGGGCAGTTCCATCCACTCGCGGATGCACATGAAAACATGGGAAATAAAAATAAATGTATTCATTTAATACAATTTTTATTTACAGATGATTACAGATCCGGGCAGTCTATCCACCAACAGGTGCCCATTAAAATATAGGAAATAAAAAGTAAAGTAATCATTTAGTACAAATTTTCATTGACAGATTACAGATGCGGGCTGTCCATCCACCAGCACGTGTCCATAAAAACATAAGCATAGAATTTATAAATAAGCATAACAAAAAGCATAGAATTTATAAGACACGAATTTTCGTTTACAGTTTGTACACAAAAGATTAAACACAGATTTACTGCATTATCAAGCTATATAATCACCGTCAAGCGTCCTTTATGACAGAAATAACAGATCTTACGGGATTTATTTGTATAAGAACAATTCATTTTTCAAAATCAGAAAAAGAGTTTCGTATGAATTTTTTGTATTGTTGGAATCTCAGGTATATGGAAGGAAGAGTGCAGCTTAATGCTGATCAGAAAAGTGAACAGCCAAATATTATTATCATTCACATACTTTTTGAACTATTCGTGCACAATTCTTTTATGCATTTAATTCTATGATGTTCATTTGGCTTGTAAACATAAAAAGCTGTAAAAATATAAGATGGATAATTTTTAGTAGACAAAAGACGAAAATTAATACTATCAGTTAGCTTCCAATACCACAATGCACTGATATATCATTACTATTATATTAACGACGGAAGGTATTTACCCTGTTGATGACGTAGGTACTCCGCGTAAGTTTCACTAACAAATATTGTTTAAGCGATCGTCTTGGTGGCATATATTGTAACAAAAAGTTTGCTGTAATGCTTGTTCCACAGTTGAGTTCAGTCGCTATGTTGCCCTAGACTTAATCTGAGAAAATTTAATTTGGATGAGCATGTGGGCTGATTTCTTTTACCTTCAGTTCTTTATAACATGATAAATGAGTTGTACTCACTAATTTGCGTTTAATGTGAAAACGAAATTTAACGTTCATTTCCGTCTTTGAAATTATGAACGAGCATCGCGTATCCAATTTAAGGTAATTTTCTTCACCCTCATCAGTGGAGTATGACACTCATTACTCACCCTCATCAGTGGAGTAAGACACTCATTACAACTCTCATCAGTGGAGTATGACACTCATTACTCACCTTCATCAGTGGAGTATGACACTCATTACTCACCTTCATCAGTGGAGTATGACACTCTGTATGCAGTGATGATGGCCTGCTCCCCCGTGGGTGATGTAGGCGCCACCCATTGCAGGGCCACATGACGGGAGCCTTCCCCCGCCACCGACAACCCCACGGGGGCAGCGGGCACGTCTGTGGGTGAAACTTCGCGATGATGACAGTAAATGATTTACCATTTTATACTTTTGTTTTTTCTATTACCAGAAGAAACTTTATTTTCATAAATTCCGATATTTTTTACTCTCCTTTAATATGTCTTTTTATTACAAGAAGAAAAAATTCTTTCGTCATCTCCGGTATTTTTTTATTCATTTTAATATGGGAGGTGAATAAAATTTTCAACGGGAAATCAATGGTACTTTTTAAGGTCTGAGTTCGAGGTTCCTGGAAATCAGACGCGTGGATGATTTATGTACTAAAATACACACGATAAGTTTATCATGAAAAAATATAACTCAGTACTCACTGCAGTGAGTGACAGAGAGCGCATTTTCTTGTCGACGAAAACATGAAATCACGGACGGCCAGACGGACGGACAGATGGAAGGACGGACAGACGGACATGGCGAGCACAATAGTGAATTTTTTTCATGAATGAGAAATTGCGCTAAAAGTTGATTTTATCTAACGTACAAGGGATTTTAATCTGTATAACTAGAAGGGCAGGAAGGCAAATAAACGGAAAATCAAGTTAGAAAGGTTGAATTATTGAATTTATACTACTTATTATTGGAGTATGAAGATAGTGCTGGATGCAACTCCTTACAGGTAACTAAACTTCCCACACAGACGGCCAGTCACCCTCACCCAGAGTCCCCCTCACCCAGAGTCCCCCTCACCCAGAGTCCCCCTCACCCAGAGTCCCCCTCACCCAGAGTCCCCCTCACCCAGAGTCCCCCTCACCCAGAGTCCCCCTCACCCAGAGTCCCCCTCACCCAGAGTCCCCCTCACCCAGAGTCCCCCTCACCCAGAGTCCCCCTCACCCAGAGTCCCCCTCACCCAGAGTCCCCCTCACCCAGAGTCCCCCTCACCCAGAGTCCCCCTCACCCAGACTCCCCCTCACCCAGAGTCCCCCTCACCCAGAGTCCCCCTCACCCAGAGTCCCCCTCACCCAGACTCCCCCTCACCCAGAGTCCCCCTCACCCAGAGTTCCCTCACCCAGACTCCCCTCACCCAGACTCCCCTCACCCATAACATGTAGGCTGAAGTCTGCCGTGCGGGTGCCGTGAGCGTTGGAGGCCTCGCAGATGTAGAGGCCGGCGTCGTCCGGGCGGGCGTCGCTTACGGTGAACACGGACGCGGCCTCGCGTGGTCCTGAGTCTTCGGCCTGCGCGCCGTGCCTGCAGCGACATAAAATGAACATTTTTAATGTTACATAATGTTTAATGTTATTGTTATTCAATTATTTGATGCTTATTTTAATTGATATTAGTTATTTATTGCTTAATGTTATTGTTATTTAATTATTTATTTTGTACATTTAAATTATTATTCATTTTGTTAACAATACATTTTATTCTTTTTTTTTATGTAACTCCATATATTTTATGGTAATTTCAAACTATAATGAGAATACGAGGCATCAGATCAGTTTGAGCAAAGAAAATTATATATGTACAGTATGTAAAATTGTGTAGCTGACACAATCGCATTCTTCATACTAAAGTTACTTTTTACATAAAATATCTTAAACCAGTACCCCCGATAAGTGATCAAATCACTCGAAATTAGCCTTGTAACCGAATAATTAATTAATTATTGTGTCTTCTTGATAATCTGTACAAAGATTTTTAAAGTTTGCATTAATTTTTCTAAATAGACTTAGAGCCAAACCACAGTTAGTTTTGGTTTTCCACGAAACCCGATCGAAATCAAACTGGAATAATTAGGAAAAAATGCTAGTGAGAATCTCAAAAATGCACGTTCACTGCATAGTTAACATTCAACAGATATTCATACGATTATATGATTTATATACCACTTGTTTTCCTCTCTGGAAGAAAAAGAAAGTATTTTTTGAAGTTATGCATGTATTCATTTCGAACGTAAGTGGATATAAAGTTTTCAATTAAATTTCGAAATTCAGACGAGGAGTTTTGTCGTCGGCTACGATATCAAGCACAGCCTTATAATTATAATTTAATTTAACTAAACCACGGTCGTTTTGCTGTCGAAATTTTTGGCCATACTATTTTTCAAGCCACATATTAAGAAAATGCATTTTACCGTGTAAAAAATTGCTGATGCCGGGAAAATTGCACATTTTTATTTGTTAAAAATTTTATCACTCAAGAAATAAAACTGACTTTGTTTTAATTAAAATCGGTCAAAACGAGCCTCTGCTTGACATGCTCACTGTCAACGGTAGCTGAAAAATCTCGGAGAGTTGCTTTAAACCTGCAAAAAATGAGCCCATTCCTGTTAAGCTCACTGTAAACTGTAACTGAAATAATCCTGGAAATCTACTAAATAACCAACAAAAAAGGAGACGCTGCCTGTTAAGCTCACCAACAACGGTAACCAAAATAATCCTGAAAAGCTACTAACAAATAGCTGCCTGCTCAGCTCACCATCAACGGTAACTGAAATAATCCGGATTACTACTAGATAACAAAAAAAATATAACTAAGTACTCACTGCATTGAGTGATAGAGAGCGCATTTTCTCGTAGACGAAATCGTGAAGTCGCGGACAGACAGACAGACGGACATGGCGAGCACAATAGTGCATTTTTTTCCATAAATGAGAAAATGCGCTAAAAAGAGATGCTGCCTGTTAAGCTCACTGTCAACAGTAACTGAAATAATTCTGAAAAGCTACTACGTAACAAAAGAAAAAAACGCTGCTTGTTAAGCTCACTTTCAACTGTAACTGAAATAATCCTGGAAATCTACTAACTAACAAAAAAAAACCCAGCGTTAAGCTTACCATCAACGGTAACTGAAATAAGCTTGGAAGTCTAATAGATAACCAAGAAAAAAAAAAGAAGATACGCTGCTTGTTAAGCTCACCATCAACTGTAACTGAAATAAGCCTGAAAAGCTACTAAATAACAGACAAAAACGCTGCCTGCTAAGCTCACCATCAACGGTAACTGAAATAATCTTGGAGAGACCGGCACCGACGTCGTTGGTAGCTTGGCAGAGGTAGCGACCTTCGTGCGCGAGGGCCGCGCGCGGCAGGGACAGGGTCGCGTTACCGCCGTGGCCGCGCCACACTGCGCCTCCACGGAAGTCTGCGCTCCACTCGCCTGACGCTACATAAAAAAATATAACTCAGTACTCACTGCAGTGAGTGACAGAGAGCGCATTTTCTTGTCGACGAAAACTTGAAGTCACGGACGGACAGACAGACAGACAGACGGACATGGCGAGCACAATAGTGCATTATTTCCATAAATGAGAAAATGCGCTAAAAACAGATAATTATGATGGACAAAATATCTTCTGTTACAAGCATGTCGGAGAATTTAAGACGATACACTTATAATATAAGTCAAAATGTGAATTATAATAAATTGGACTTTCATTTATTGTGATCAGAAATGATGTTTTGAAATCCCTAATTTAAAAAAAAAATTTGATTATGATTTGGATATAAGAGAATTGAGTAAATTATTAGGCAATAAATGGAAATTATACATGATTTTTAGATAGAGCACGCACACGTAATGATTTTAATTTATTCCTGCATTTGTTGAAGAGTTGAAAAAAGTCATCAAACACATCGCGTTATCAACTGGCGACTATATAGCGCACAGTACATCAAACTCGCCAGCTTTCCTGCGCCAAGTGACGGTGGGTTGAGGGAAGCCGTGAGCACTGCACGCCACGCTCAGAGACTCCCCGAGGGGAACTGTTGCGTCCATGGGCTCAATCACCCATGTTGGGGGGACTGCAGGAGTAATTCCCGTAATTTTTTAAATAAAACAAGTTTCAACTTCATAACGTTCTTAGTTTTTTATTTATTAACAAATTAAAAGGGTTACTTAATTCTGGTTCACCCTGTATGTGATCACAGTTATTGTCGATTAGAAGACGGAGGAAAATACTTCTAAATCATAGAAATTTACAACTATTACCCTCGATTGGTCATGGAAATACTTCTGCACTGAATAACAGTTGAATGAATTATTCAGGAGCATATATGGTATAAATGCTATCGTTATTTATTTCAATTCCGATGCGTCTCAGTGAGACACATAATCGAGCCAATTTCTGAATATGAGTTCAGTTAGGTGAATAAATTCTTTAGAAATATTCATTCTGATGGGCAAACGATTCACACAATATTATAAATGATATAATCAAAGATACAAAAAATTGGAAAATTCCTTGTAGACGATACGTAAATAAGTGTTTATAGATAAAGGAAAATTGAAATCGTGCAGCACAAACATTCAGTTCACTGGCAACGTGAAGATAGAAAATTTTATAATTTTACATCAGGCAGATACGGTTTGATTTCACGCTCAACAACACATAGAGAGCAAATAATCATCGGTTAGATTTAGTGCCGTACTATATCACCAATCTCAAAGATAAGAAACTTACTGTTTAAGTAAGGTTATTGCGTTGAAATTAATTCAGTAATTAAAAGCGAGTATATTCAAATGATTTAGTTTAAGAACATAGAAAAAAATGTGCATGGGCCAAAGAGAAAGAAAATATTCCACACAGATTTTATATGATTCCTTTAATGCAAAAAGGAAATGTTTCGACAGGTAGCTCCAAGTAAGTGACCTATGTAGCTAGGCTGGTTAGCGCTTCTATTAGCTCCACATAAATTGTATTTACTTGATTCAGAAATGTTCACTTGGCCATTGTCAAATTTACGTCGTTAAAAAGAATAAATTCAGTCAGTTCAATTTTCCAAGGAATAAAATTTTTAATTTTCACCGGTAAAACCTGCCCGTATTTGAACATAATACTAGCTTTGAAAAGTAAATTTTGGCCGCGCGAGAGTTTGCCTATCGTATCGTATCGTTTGCCACTGAGGCTGAAATGTATATACTCTGAATGTTGCAATATAATTTATAGTTTAAAAATAACTTTGAAGAAGAAATGAGATGATTTCATTAATCAAGGTTTTCAGAGCATCAAAAAAAATTTTGAAACATTTTGCAGTGTCAGAAAAATTAATTCCTTATTGGCTGAGGCTAGCATTAAATTTTCGCGGTGACAAATGACCAAAAGGAATTTCGTACTCAGACTGTGGAGGCATCAGTTAATTTTAGTGCCACTTAGTTTGAAGTTGAAACTGCTCCCCTACGGGGAAATATTAAATTTGTATAATATATTAAAATTCTTCCCTGAATTCTACATGTGCGCCTACCACTTATGGTAAGAGCTGTGTAGACTACTGCAGTTCTTGCGGAGTTGCCGGCTGAGCAAGAGTAGTTGCCGGAACTGTCTTCCCTGGTCTTCTTGATCACAAGGATCGTGGTGAAATCGTTAGCTTGCGAGATGTGGAGATCTTCATTGGATTCCAAAAGATGGATGCCGTTCTTGAGCCAGCGCATGGTTATTGGAGGATCTCCCTCCTCCAAAGAACAGATTGCTTGTACCCTCTGGCCGGCCCTGTTGCCGCCCGTGAAAACTATTGGTGCGAGTCGAGGGGGAACTGAAAGTCCAAAAACACTTCCTCACTGAATTTTCTGAAAACTCCGGCATGGTCACTTTGGTCATTACCGTATAGAGCGCAACGGCGTAAACAACAGCGGGTAGAGTTGTAATGGACAAGTTTCAAAAACTGAACGACGATTATTGTAGGTCGATGGATGAATAAATCGGTAAAATGTTAGCATTCAATCTGTCGAAGATAATCAAAACGCAGAAACTAATTAACGGAAGTGTTTTTTCCTAGATGTTTGTCAAAGATCGAACCAAGAAACGCGGAGGAAGTTAATTAGATCTCAAATCCACCATTAGATGTGGAATTCCTCTTGATGCATTTTTTAAATTGTGCTCTTGAAAGATTAAACCTAATTCGATGTACGATGAGATAAGAAACCGCTTTTAAACCGTCTTAAATTTAATTCTGTACAAACGTCCAAATTTGTATCGCAGAAATACATGGAGCGTATCAACCTTAGACTTTCTAATGACAATTGAAACTTTCAGAGGATTGTGAAATTACGTCAGGCGCTCGGTAATTCAAATAACTCGGCAAACCAGTACAAAAATACGAATCTGTCAGTATATGATTGAATATAGCAAGAAACGGAAGAATATATAAATAATAAATCTATCTATTAAAAAGAATTTCTGTTACTATAAACGACGATTGTAACTGAAAAACTGCCAAGTCATAAATCGAGGATTTTTTTCTGNAACGACAATTGTAACTGAAAAACCGCCAAGTCATAAATCGAGGATTTTTTTCTGGAGTGGGAAAGGCCAGTGAAATATGGATGTGCTTTAGCATGGGAACGATTAGTGCAATATCGATGTGTCAGCATGGGAACGGTCAGTGCAATATCGATGTGTCAGCATGGGAACGGTCAGTGCAATATCGATGTGTATCAGCATGGGAACGATTAGTACAATATCGATGTTTATTAGCATGGGAACGCGTAGTACAATATCGATGTGTGTCAGCAGAACGATTAGTGCAATATCGATGAGTGTCAGCAGAACGATTAGTACAATATCGATGAGTGTCAGAAGAACGATTAGTGCGAATAGTAGGATTTCGTTGGAGTACCATTGAATATCAAAGTTGGTGGGGCCCGGCATGGGAGTGTCCATGTATTGGTGTATTTTCGACACATTCAACACAGCAGTCAACCGTTTGCAGACATCAATCGCTGCTCACTCGTCGTCTATGAAAATAAATGACTGTTCCTTGTCGTTATTTGAAACAACACAGATTATTTGCGATCGGGAATTGCCAAGATTAGGGTCGTTGAATTTCCCTGTTGTACTTTGTTGACATATAATAATGATTTTTTTTTGTGAAAACTAAACAATTCGGGAAAAGTAACATAGAAGCAAGCGAAATTGTTCGAATGTTAACATTAACGCAAAAGTGCGATGTATTTATCACAAAAACATTTTAGTACGAGGTTGGAAGCTACAAGTGATGGTGATGCTCTGAAATAAAAATTTTTGCGCCTGACGTGTTTACTCCTCTATAATAAATATTGAAATTCATTGATAAAGCGTTTTGTCGAATAAAACATAAATAGCGGATCCCTATGATGTCCTGGGTAGGCGCTTCGAAAAATATTTTCAAAACAATTTAATTCAAAAAATTGGATTAGAAGACCAGAGAGAAATCCAATGCGTGGGCTTGGCTTACTTGCCTTCTCGGATATCAGCTTGCAACTGTCGTATCGTTCACGTCGAGACAAGACCGTCGTTTTGTCATTGATGACCGTAATGTTTACGAGGAATTTAAAACAATGAAACTAGAAAATCCCTCATAACTTGATGGTCATTCAAAAACGAGAAATTTTCATTAGCATGTAGCTTCTGTGTTTTTGCCGTGGTGGCCACGTCAAAACTAAAAATTTCAAAGTTCGATTGAAACAGCGAAGCATTTTTTTCAATTATTGTAGGAAGGTAGCTTAAATAAATTTAAATAAATTTGCTACCGATATCATAATGGACATATTTATTTAACCTGTTTATCTCAAAAATTAATAGCAATGTTTATTGCATTACAATAATCGCAAATTTTATATTACAAATAAATCAGACAGTTGTAAGGAAATTCTAGAACCGCCAAATAGATGCACTGATATTCCGAGTCCAGACTAAAATAATTGAGAAAAAACGTTGCCAGTTGGTGCCATTCAATGCAATTGCAAGGCAGCAGAACGTTTTCTTTGTCTGTTGAAAGAACTGTTAACATTTAGATATTAAAAAAACAGCGAGTTTATAGCGGACAACACTGAGTGCTGCAGATTCATAAGACAACAGTCAGATTAAAATTTTATGTATACAATTAACAAGATTATTGGACAGAAAATAGCATGGCATTCATCAATCAAACTAATTAAATTTGTTGAATATTAAGAAAAAGAACATTCGACAGCATGCTTTCACGATGTTTAAATACTTTATTCTTTGGAGTACCATTGACTATCAAAGTTGCATTTCTGGATTGCGAAGCCCAATGGTTCCTAGCAGTGCAGGTATACACTCCAGCATGGGTGATCTCTATGGGTGCCAGCTCCAGGACACTCCAGAACTCTCCCTTGTCTTGCACTGTGACCCCGGCGAGGTTATTGTGGTGCAGAGCTACGCCATCCTTGTCCCATGATATTTGGATGGGCGGGTCGCCCTTGTTCACGTAACAGCCTACCATCACGCGGTCGCCCGCCTGCAGTCCGCGCTCAAAATGAATTGCGGACACACTTGGAGCCACTGAAACGTCCGACGTCCAGACAAATATCTAGGTTATTAGACTGCCCCCTACTGAAACGCCTGATGCCTAGATAATATTAAAAGGTTATAAGGCGGTTCCCAGCCTAATGAAACGCCCGACGTCCAGACAACAATCCAGGTTATTACATAGGCTGTCCCCTGCCTACTAAAACGCCTGATGCCCAGACAATAATAAAAGGTTATAAGGCGATTCCCTGCCTACTAAAACGCCCGACGTCCTGATAATAATTCAGGTTATTAGGCTATCCTCTGCCTACTGAAACGTCTGATGACCAGAAAATAATAAAGGGTTATTCGAAAGTTTCCTGCCTACTGAAACGCCCGATGTCCAGAAAATAATCCAGATTATTAGGCTGTCCCCTGCCTACTGAAACGCCCAACGTTAAAAAAACAAAAGTTTATTCCGCGGTTCCCTGCTTTCTAAAATGACCGACGTCGAGACAGTTGTAAAAGGTTATTACGCGGATCCATGCCTACTGGAAACTAAAACGCCCGACGTCCAGACAATAATAAGAGGTCATTCCGCGGTATCCTGCCTACTTATGCCCGACGTCCAGACAATAATAAGAGGTCATTCCGCGGTATCCTGCCTACTAAAACGCCCGACGTCCAGACAATAATAAATGGTTATTCCGCGGTATCCTGCCTACTAAAACGCCCGACGTCCCTTGTCTGTCACGCACCGTGCATGCGTAACGGCCTTCGTCAGCCAGGCGCGAGACAGCTGACACTGACAGCGTGCCGTTACTGTGCACTCGCTGACGGTGGTCAGATGGCAGACTCACGCCATCTGTCAGCAAAATTATATATTCCAAACAGTTAATATTGACAAGAGTTTTTTCTGGAAATATTGTGAAATGGAAAATATTTATCGAAAATTTTTTTTCGAATTTCTCTCGTTGTCCATAATATTATAAGGCTAATAATAAATTCACTTATATTAAGCTGCGTTGTCCATGCTATCATAAGGTAAATAATAAAACCCCTTATATTAATCTGGGTTGTCCATGCTATTATAAGGCTATTATAAGGCAAATAGTAAAACCTCTTATATAATGCTTCGTTATCCATACTACTTTAAGGCAAATAATAATAATAAAATCACTTTTTATAAAGCTTCGTTGTCTATATTATTATAATTCATATAATAAAATCACTTATAAAATGCTTCGTTATCCATAATATTATAAGGCAAATAATAAAACCAATTATATAAAGCATCGTTGTCCGTACTATTATAAGGCAAATATAACGACTACTTTGATTAGTTCTTGCAAGTGAAAAAATAGCCCAGAACGAAGGATGGAATATCAAGAAACTTATACAACGTACGAATAATTAAGCTGGATCAGAGTATCTACAATTTTACATAGATGATACAGCTTCAAAAAATAGCATCTTTATCTATTGACCTTCGAGCCTCAGTAAAACTTTTGTGTACCGGATAAAGTTTGTAATTTTCAGCAGTCAAAAATTCCAAAAACGCTTACAGTATTTTCACGCCAGTGATATAAATGTATTATTTCAAGGTATTCAAAACATGGAGCTTCGAAAGTTACATAAAATGAAATGAAATGGCTTTCGGCGTAAAAAAGAAGAGCGCTTGGAGCAGTTTTCTATTGCTTGCTCGGTGTCTTGACATTCAGTAGGCAGCTTCCTGTAACTTCATCTCAATTATCTTTTAATAGCCTGGGAACCCGTTATGGTGTCATAACAATTACTATGACTCAAAAGTTTTAATTTAGTTGTGAACATCAGACTGTGCGTACATACATATATGTACCGCCTGGAATGAGTGTCGTGAACTCTCCCTAAATAACTCGCTACCTATGATATAAATGTAAAATAATGAAGAAATTTAAAGCTAACGAATTTTATTCTCAACTGTAGAATACAATCTGTTGAGGACTCGCCATAAAATTCCATAACCACAAAATTCTGCGTTTTTGTCGCGTGATTTTCATTAGTGAACTGGAAATTAATTATCATGATCTGGCCAGTTATGATGACATGGTACAAATATTTAATTAACAATTCATTCATTGATCGGAATATTCTTTCTTTCAGCCTTGTGATTCCCAAGACAAAACTGAAGATTTATGAACACGAGCGCACCTCTTTTGGTAACACCCAACTTCAAGATAATAAAAAATCAGATCGTATCATCTTACCATTCTATCACGTGATTTTCTCTTGAAACTGGAATTTATTGACCACCGACGCAACTCTTTTGCCAACATCTAACAAATTGATTAACCTAAATACTGATCATATTATATTACATTTCTACCACGGGACTTTCACTAAAGTTTTAAATTAATGACCATGAACGGGCTATTTTAGGTGATATCAAAATACGATTTAATTATAAATTCAAACAATGATCGTATTTACCTTTCTGCCACGTAATTTTCTCATAAGGATATCCGCCAACGGGGCAAGTAACCACGAAAGTCTCGCCAGCGACCGCAGTTTGTGGCTCCATCGGACGCACGACCGGCGCACCATAGATGTTGAGGCGAGCGTTGTGAACCGCCACGCCAGCGCTGTTGCTGGCCTGACATTCGTACAGTCCGCCGTCAGCTACACGCACGCTGCTGATGTTCACGTGGCTGACAACGTCGCCCAGGGCTGACACGTACTGACCCATCAAGAACCTGGTGAAAAATTTGTGTAAAATATTAGTTGTTTTGTATACAGTTGGATTCGCCGTGGATCTTATTTCTTATTTACTATGGACCTGATGAAAATCAAAACTTTACATATGATTCAATAATGTGAAATTATTATAATGAAATTACTGGCTGAAATGGAAAGTTTCATCGTTAATAATGAGGCATTCGACACTAAAAGAAAAAATATCAATATATTTTACACGGATGATACAAATTGCCAAGTAATCAATTCTTCTTCTGTGTATTTAACGTCCCATCTTTGTGCTCTCTCACTGTTCATTGCTGCATTTAATTGAAGCATTCTAATCAATCATTTCGATTTATATTGTACTTGCGATTACTGCTACAATTACTTGTTGAAGTTTCACATTCTTATTTGCTAATTTATTTTACTAAATAAACATTGGTGCTTGATAGATGTTGTTCATGCATTTTGAATAGTAAATTAAGTCCAAAATTAATCCCTTAAATAAAGTTGCGTTAATATATACTCATATCGAACGTACATAAAAAAATAGATAATTTACACTGGTGACTTTGAATAAAATTCTACCGTAGTGTACCTAAGATAGTGAATGATAAATGTTGAATTTGTGTATTTTTATCAAACTTCTTTGCATGAAATGTTGCACACATCTTTCAACAATAAAGTATGAGAAGTCTGTATAAACAACGAATTTTAAATGAAATAATACCACGATTGCTGTATTGTGGCAAACGGTGAGTAAGACATTGCACAATGTCCAGATACAATATTTCTCAGACTGATTCTTGTTCCTCAGTAGTTTACCAGTTTATTTATGCTGAATTTGATTAATGGTTTGCACTGAATGCTATCGTAAATGTCCAGGTGATCCAGCGTCAGCAGCCTGCACTGAGCTGACACTTAGCTCACTCTGACCGCTCTCTCCCCATTCCAGAGAACCTCTGAAGGAATAACTTGAAGAACCAGTCGCAGGGTAACTCATCCCATAACTTAATTCAGAACCAGTAGAACTGAACTCCGGCAGTGAACCAGTCGACGCAGAACTGATGCTAGGAGTTCGGCTGACATCTTTTGAGTGAGCAATTGAAATGCGAACGTCGTCTCTGAGGGTTGTAGAGGATATAATTCTTTAATTACTATTAATATGGTATTTATTTAAGAAATTATTTCTTATTCGTAATAACATATTGTTATTTTAGTTTTAATGTTTACCGAAGTGAAAGTGATTATTGGAATTTAATTATTATTAATATGATATTTATTTCAGAAATTGTTTATCATTCGTAATTTCATATTGTTATTTTAGTTTCAATGTTTACCGAAGTGAAAGAGAATCTTTAATTATTATTAGTATGATATTTATTTCTAAAATTGCTTATTATTCCTAATTTCATATTGTTATTTTAGTTTTAATGTTTACCGAAGTGAAAGTGAATCTTTAATTATTAATAATATAATATTCATTACAGAAATTGCTTATTATTCGTAATTTCATGTTGTTATTTTAGTTTAAAGTTTACCGAAGTGAAAGTGCAGAAGGTTAATGTTAGATGATTATTGTGCTGAGTAAAGGCAGAACGGAGGTGGAGGTTTACATCAACTGTGTTTGGATATGATGTGAATATGGAAGTAGATTTGATTGTCAATAGATGCGTAAATATTCATATTTTATTTCTAGGGACCTTATTACTATGTTTACTTTACTGTTATTTATTTATCAGTCTTTATTCTGTTGTTTTAGGAAAGCCTCAAACTTCATATATATCCCAACAAGTAAGCTTAAACCAAAGACTTAAACTGGAGGTTCCAACCACGTAGAAGGAAACTGTGAATTGAGGAGTAACGTTCATAAGTTTTTATTCATTCTTACAGCTTGCGATTATTTAATTAAGTTTATTATTTCTTAATTTGATAATTATAAAATAAAGTTGATTATTTAATTTGTTTATTCAAAAAAGCATTGGTGAAATAAAGTGTTTAATTACGAGTTGTCAGTGACTTTAAACCTATGCGGTCATTCAGGCAAGTTGGTGCGCATATACTCCAACCTGGCATTCACACTTCATAATACATGTAGTAAAATAAAAAAAGCTGGGGTAAAAATATATTATTGTTTCTTTTGACCGCGTGTAAAATGAATTTTTGGTGAAATGTTTGGGTATTCATGATTTAATATTTATTATTGCACTGCAGGTGGCAAGTGTACATGGAGTGGTGCGAATAAATTAAAAAAATGAAGTAATCTGAATTCATTTCGCATAAGAGCCCTGATAAACAAATGGATTTTAGAAAATACTTTAATTACAACTTTGAAAAATAATCTTACTGTTAGATTAATATTTATTAACAAATAATACAACAATATTAATATTAAGAAATAGAACCAAAGCATCTCAAAGAGTTAGAAACAAGCATAGGAGAACTTACCTAAGCAAAACGCTGTCTTTATACCACACAATTTGAGTTTGCGGGAAACCCGTGACTGAACATCGCAGACGAAGAGGCTGTCCTACCGTCAGTTCAATGGAGGACTGATGCATCTATTAACGTACAGGAATACCAAAAATGATTCATATTAAAAAAACTAAATAATTGTTATATATTTTGTACGCAGTTCGCTTGTTTGACGAAAGCTGATTAGACATTAATTATTCATTATTTCGCAATTGCGTTCAATGTCACCTGTGAGGAAATACTTGAATGTTATCATACATGAATGCCAAAAAGTAATCATATTGTAATAGCTAAATAATTTTTATATGTTTTGTTCACGCTCTGCTTGTTTGCGGAAACTTATAATAAACTTGGTATAATGGATACCATCATTTATTACTATGCATAAGCGAATTAGACAAGATTGGAGTCTGATTAACCAGGCAAAGCCGAGCTAAACTTATCGTTAGTAAATTCTTTGTTGTTAACAGTGCTAAATAAATGCGAGTTGCTTCAAGAGAGCACAGTTATAAATACAATTACAGTTCAAATTCTTGAAAAAAACACACCTGAAGAAATGAGATTACGTTCAATTCTACGTACTATTCAATATTTTAACAATGTACAATATTTAACTTATATATCATGTCATGGTCTCAATTCTACGTACTATTCAATATTTTAACAATGTACAATATTTAACTTATATATCATGTCATGGTCACCTGAACTCTGAGAGGTGCCGTAACCGTGAGTTTGGTCCGCATGGTTACAGTACCAGCAGAGTTGTTAACCACACACCGGTACTCTCCTGAGTCTGGTACCTGGGCTGAGGGTATCACCAGGGAGCCTCCTACCATCCATGTACCACTGCCGTCTGGATCTACTGGTACCAGCCCCCGGAACCATCTGATATGTTTTATCTTCATTATCTTCTTACATTATCTCATTACACATTACATAAAGTTCGTCTTAATTCGTCTCTTAAATTCGTCTCTTAATTCAATTTCAAATGAATTCATCTCATTATTTATGATTTATTGTTAACAGAAAAATTATATCAACAAATTATCGCTTCATTATAATATTATTTGGTGGTCGAAGGAGGATAATTTCTTATAATACATTTAAAGTAATATCCCACAAAACTTACTGTTACTGATAATAAGAATAAGTTGGGCTCCCATGTACTCGTGAAATGTTGTTATTGAGTTAGAAAATTTATGTGAAAAAGAATCGTTTATTCAAAGCAGTAAAAATATAAGCCCTTGGGATTGACTTTTACGAAAGCCGAAATAAAATTTTAAAATGTTTTACTCAATGTCAGTCAGTAGAATGTCAAAATCAGGAGGACACAATAATGTTGAATGATTGCAGCAGTACATTAATGATGTTGATTTAGAGTTATAATTGCTTCATTTTTCATCTTTATGAAGAGTTGTGAATAATTAGTACAAAATGAGAACAGGAGCAAGATGTATGCGAAATAATTCGTATTTACACTCAAAATAATTGGAAAAGAAAGCAAAAAAAGTAGGATACTGTATTAACCGTTACGCACAAGCTGTGAACTAAATAGTGCTTTCACTTAGGCCAAGGGAAAAGTAGCAAATCTAGTTCTAGTAGAGTCTGACGATTTAATATTAATTCTCGCTTAATAAAAAATAGAAATCACGCTTAAAGAATAGGAAAGAAGTAAAATGAGATAATTAGGTAATCATGATAATACTTAAACAGTAGCAAAAATCAATGTTAACAGAAACTTTATATATAAAAAATACAAAGAGTGTTTCACATCAAGCATTTAAATATTCGTAACATTCTAACGGAAATTTAGCCTGTAAACTCAGTAAATAAATTGAACATTTGATCGCACCTCAGTAAAATAGTTTGTTATCTTATGTTTCTGCTGAATGAACTGAAAATTTTCATATTAAATCTTAAAAAGTTTATTAATTAATAAAATTGTTCGTAAATTCGTAGATAAAATACTTACGAAAAAGTGGAAGGCGTGAAGCCTCTGAAAATTTCCATATTAAATTTTAAAAAAATTTAGTAAATAATAAAATTGTTCATAAATTCGTATGTAAAAAATACTTACGAAAAAGTAGAAGGCGGGAAGCTTCTGAAAATTTCCATATTAAATCTTGAAAAGATTTAGTAATAGTAATAATAGTTTAATAATAATGATTAATAATAATTATTAATAATAATAGTAATAATAGTTTAGTTATGATAATAATAATAAATCGTTACAAGTGTTATAATTGAATATTATTATGCGGCCCTTCAAAGGCAGGAGATGGGCGGCGCATGACAATCGCATAGCAATATAAAACGCATGTCAACCGATAATTTGGCAAAGGCTTTTCAAAACAACAATAATAATAAAATATTACGCGAAAACCATAGGACGGTGAAATGGTGAAATTTAAAAAAAGTTTGATATACTAGCGATAATGAAGAAAGGTTAACCGGCGATACAAACATAAGAATCCTGATAGTTATTGATAACAGTTAAAATAGTTTAGATACTAGCTAAAGTAATTGCTCGTTACAGATGAAAAATAGAATAAAGATGAAATAACTGGTAGATACTATGTATGAAAGCCAGTGGCAAAGTGGACGACTCTATAAAAAAATACTAAATTCGAATGAACAATAAGACAGTTCGTGATCTAAAATATAATGTTATACTAAATTATTATAATTAACATAAAACATATATTTTCTTTCAAGAATACATAATTGAATTGGTTATTAATTACTAAAAAATTTCTACGGGATTGGAAATTGATACAAGGTTTAGAAAAAGATTACTCAACTGACCTAAATGTAGACGTCAGTTTACAAATGATATAATAGAACTGCTTATTATTATTATTATTATTATTATTAATCTCATTACTATTATTATATTCTATGTACTCGGTATGCAAGTGTTCTGAAGTGGTAAGTAAGCTATTCATTCGGAACGCGAGAGCGAAATTGCCCACTATTTCTTGGACATCTACGAAGTTTTCTCGCTTCAAGTCGATCCGAGCGAGGGAATTCTACTCTAACTGACAGCTTTATACAGAAATAGGCAAACTTTACAGCCGAAGTTTATTTTAAAGAACCCAGTCTGATAATTTTGTGGAGGACGGGCAACGTTTATGCGATCGGTCCATGTAATTTGCTGGCTTTAGAGCACCCAAAACTTAGAGGACCAAGTCTGGGGTTTAAGCTGGGCTTGGAATCGTGATGAACTGCAACCAACTTTCCACAGATTAAAGGAAGCTCGAGGGTTCTATAGTAAAAATTAACTAGGGCTTCAATAGGATCGTTTCGTGTTGGCTTGAATGGTATGATCGACAACGCAAAATGAAGCCAAAAGAATTTCTATAATGAAAGTGCTTTTCGATTGCTTCGTTTAAATAATAACGGCGTTTCTGCATCTCTAACACGATGCAAAATTGAGGCCATATTTAATTGATCTGATTCTATATATTATTTTGAAAATGAATGCAAAATCCCGAATTTTTAAATAAAATAAGGTAATGTATTATTTTTATAACATTGTAACCATATTCACCTCAAATTAAACAGGGATGCGTTACATCTAAACCAACAATATATTGAAACTCATGTACAAAAATATATACCAATATATTATTTTGAAAATGAATGCAAAATCCCGAATTTTTAAATAAAATAAGGTAATGTATTGATTTTATAACATTGTAACCATATTCACCGCAAAATTGAACAGGGATGCGTTCCATCTAAACGAACAATACATTGAAACTCTTGTACAAAAATATTTACCAATATTTTCAAAATTTCTATAACTTTTCAGACAAACTCTAACGAAACAAGATTATAGGAACAATTGATGTCAAAAAACAATTAGGAAGAAAGGAAAAATGTTCTTGTACAGGACAGAAGAGAACAAAACTTTTGCGATGGCAATGCTGGCGACAGCGTCCCGTAGAGTTTGTGAAGTTTGCCACACAATAGCTGGGTTTAACTGAAGTGACTGAAACAGCTGACGCGCCCCGCAGAAAAACATGACGACTGATGAGAAATTTCTCACGCGATATTCTGGCTCGACCGAAACAGTCCAGACATTTTTCGGAATTGAAAAATTCTGCCTAGCACCGGAACGTTGCCATGTGATTTTTATATTTTACTTTGAACTAAAATTTTAATAAATATATATAATATAATTTTCCGTAAAGTTAGACGATATTCGCATTCAAGCCGGACGAGAAATATTGTATGTTAGTTTCAACGTCAAAATTATCTTCTGAAAAATTTTAATGTGGTCTTTCTATGAATGAAAATTTTAAAAGACGTAACTAATCATGGATAAAATTGCCATAGGGCTTGTCCTTGAGTAGACAATAATAACGGAAATCAAGAAAATATTTAACTGTTCGGACCGAAGCATAATTTTGACAAACTATAAAGTAAGCACATCAGATGCATTTGCAAAGATCCTCGCCATACCATTACGATCTATTAACCGAGATTGCGATTTCTAAACTATATTATTGTTACTTGTGAGTTTACAGTCGTTTGGAGCAAAATTAATAATTATATTTTTGTGTGATTTTTAGTCCTGTTGATACAAGAAACAATTTCTGGGAACGAAGCAAATCGGGATTATCCTAACCGCTGTATTTTACGCCGTGAATAACCCGGTTCTATAGTTGCTACTATAATACTAAGTATTCACAGCAAGTTTAAACACTTGTGTCCTGAATGAATATTCATCATTTGCATGGGAGGGTAGGTCAGATGTTTCAGGCTTAATATAAAAACACAGAATCGTGAATGGGCTCCTATCAGTTGAGAGATATTTATAAGGAAAATTTCAACCATTGAGAATGAGTGCTCGCGGTGGAGTAACACACAGGCCGTTTTCGGGCGCTAAATTGAATACATTAATGACAAAGAATTAACTCATCCTTTCCCCGATGTAATCCAAGATATTCTCATTGGTTCTTTTATATGCCATGCAAGTTCAAAGAGGAGGTGATTTCCCAAACGCCCCTATAATGGACCGCGTTGGCAATATTTCAGGAATACATTTGCAATTCCATGCGAATAATCGAAGACGCTAGAAGTGCCAAATTTGCATAAGTTGCCACTGAGAAGGTCATTCTGGTGCCCTTCTTAACCCGCAGCCTGGTATGCCTTTCATGATATCGTTTCTTCCAATATTCATCTTTAATCAATCTCCTAAAGCAGTAAAAATCAGCTTAGCTTATGGCCAGTGTTGAAGATGAACTCGGTTCCAGACTCTAAAAGTCATTCAAGTTTATGGGGCTTTAGAGGCCAGATTAAGGGGCCATTAATGGACAGATGGTTATTTAAGCCTGGATGATAAATTATCTTCACTTGTGTTAAGCGACTATTAATTTAAGTCATCATAATTCACGGACTATAAAGTAGAGACTCCACTTTTGTAGGAAAGCTTTGCGTTGTTTCAGGAAAAATGGATATTTTCTTTCACTTTATAACTGTATTCAAACGTTAGGAAGTAGCAGCGGGACGCAAGTACTTCATGTTGCGCATCGGAAAATTATCCTAGCCGCCGTTACTGAATAGCCAATTAATAAATTCGGTCATAAAAACGATATTTTCGTAAAAAATTGAATGAAATGTTAATACAGCGACAATCTGCCACGACATACAGTAGATGCTGCACTTGAATATGATGGTATATATGTATATGGTACGCGTACGAGTGAATTCCATTGTACGTAGTGTACTGCAGGGTTATTCTAAATGACAGATTAATTGGATAAATTAGTATATATTCAGGTAAAATTATAAATGTATAATTTATACACCGATGGAAGGAGAAAGCTTCAATTTATTTTATCTTTATATATGTACAATATGATAAGCTACGGCTTCCT